CGTCCATGCTCTGGTCCCTAACCAGACGAAAGTGTGTATCGATTGGGCTGTAAATTATCCCCAATTATTATTACTAAAATAGAATTGAATGTCATATCCAGAACACCGGACTTACAATGCACACAGGTCGCTGGTTCAGTCTTCTAATATGAGTCGATTGGTAGGTGTGGTAAAGGGTCTGTAATCCCACTTCTTCCAAAGTTTCTGGCCAGCGTAGAAGAGGAGGACAAATTGCCCTCTAGGGCCAGGGGTTGGCCACATTCGGCTTGACGTTATTGATTTAGGACCGTCTTGTAATCACACGCATTGCAGCTCTTTAAATATTGAGGGGGGGGGGGGGGGGGTTACCGAATTCGAAAAAAAGGTCGCTCCTCGTTACTTTTATTGCCAATCCTGCATTAGGCGGATTTCTAAAGATCCCTCTAGTGGATGACCTTCCACCAGCAGTAGCGTGCAGGGCTGCACTTTTCTTTTTAAATGCATGCGATGTCGCAGTAAAGCATGTGTCCGCTCAATGCAGGAAGGACACGTTTTGTCCGTGACAGGCACGTTGATGAGGACCAGGATAAGCAGCAACGGCTGGACGGTAATTGTATATTACATTGGATGTAATGATTCCATGCACGCCGAAAAAAAACAGCGACCGGGTGAGATTAGTTGAACATGCGGTGATGTGACAGCTTGCGTGGCACACATACCACCTGCCGGGGAAGTGTGGTATTGCCTGTATGAGTTGGCGCACAGTAGGTTTGTGATAGACTGTTTGAAATTGGCCAAGTATTCTAAAAGAAGATCCTACTAAAAAGGAGTAGATACTCAGTGGAACTTTCATGGATAATGTATTAGAGATCTTCAGGCCGTAATTATAATATATATATATATGGGGGGGGGGGGGGGGGGACACATCCACCCCCAATAATAAAGTATGCTCAAAATGTTCCCCCCAATATATTGCTTTTATTTATTTTTTAAACGTAATAATTGCGATGCTATGTTAATAAAATTAACAATTTGCTAAACCTTGCCCGCAAAATCTGGACTTGTCTTCAAATAAATCAATGCATAGATTTCTGTTTATATGATTGTGGTTATGGTTGTACTTTATGAATCCCTAATCTCTGCCATTACATACCATGAAACAAGAAAAGGTAAAAAAAGAAAAAACGGAGCAATGTAAATACAATACACTATTAGACATTGTTGTAAAAAATAAATAAAAAGTCCATCCCATGTGCTAGTGATTTTTAAAAAAATATTTTAGGCAGGAAATGAGTTTTAGAATGTAGATTTTTTCTGGGGGGGTGGGGGGGGCAGAACCCCAGACCCCCTGGAAGATTTGGTCCCCCCCAATGTTGACCCCATGGCTACGGCCTTGAGAGAACTATTCATGCGAGTAGTTAAATGTGATACATAGTTGGGATTTGAATAGAGAATAAGGAGCATAAAGCTAGCTGCTAAATTGTCTACACGTCTACCCCAATAATGCTAATAACAATCATCTTTATCCTGGGGTATATGAATTATGAGAAACACGTACATACCCCCGGGTTATGACGGGAGTGATGTTAGTGATGTTACAGACAAGCACACTTCAAGAAGTAACCACTATCCTTAACATGGACATGACGCACAGGGACTTGTGATGCAACAACAGTGATGTTGCTGGTGTAGTTCGGAGTGATGGTAATCCATAGCAACCGCTGCACGGCTATGATGCGCACAAATACTGTGCATTGTGCACGAAAGATTTTGGGTGTGTAGGCAAATCGCTGCCTGGTAGGATTAACGGGGGGTGTTTTTTTCGGGCTCAGATTATCACAGTGGAAGAGCTGTTGTGCAACTGCGGACAGGCAAGAAAGCGCGCCCCATATTGTTTGGGTAAAAAAAAAATCCAACGAGGTTTCTATTCAAGATTCCATAAGCTGTTCTACAACACACAATAAGGACCACTGCAAGAGATCTGAATGGATACTTTGCCTACAACATGCATCTAACGGCAGCGTAATCCGAATAACGCTGGGAAAATAAACGTGCAAAAAAAAATGTGGCATATTGACATGGCCCAGCGGTAGTGGGTTTGCCACTTGCTGCGGAGATTCGCGGTTCGAATTCATCAGTTTAACACGTGGGAGGCTTTCGCGATCAATATTATTAATAATAATAAACGTTCTTGGGTTAGATCGCGTTATTTATAAATGTGTCGTAACCCTCCACCACCCGACACGGCCAATCGGTAAACAAAGTGTCACGTTGACAAAAGACAAAATAGTTCACTACTTTAGCCCACCGGTGTGTTGAAGAGTGAATCCACAACATTTAAAAATTTTAGTACGACGTTTCGCTGGTTATTACATCCAGCATCATCGGGTAATCTGCCAGAATAGTGAAGCCAATCTAGATTTTAAGTTTTCGTGACTGCAGGAATCTATACTCTTTGGTTCTTTCGGTAAAGTCACGTAGGTACAAAATAAAATAAATAAAATCATGACGTTTCGATCGCAACACAAGCGACCATCATCAGGTGGAACAGATACAGCAGGAGAACTGCGGACTAAAATTCCAAAAGAAGATCCTACTAAAAATGAATAGATACTCAGTGGAACTTTCATGGATAATCTATTAGAGAAATCCAGGCCGTAATTAAAAAAAAAAATTCGGTGACAGTCCCTATGATCACTGTTACGTTGCACTTATAGCTTTATTTTTTGGTGATTTCGAATACGTTTTTTGGTTTGGACATGTTTGTTTTGTTGTAGTACGGAGTTAGACTGACGGCCTTAATCTAAGTTTTCTTGTGGTTGTTGTTGTTTGACTTGCATCCCACTGGGATTTTTTGCACACAGCCTTGGTGTACGATGCTTTTTTCAGGAATATTTAGCAGTTTTTTCATGGATTTTCTGTTTGCACAGTCACATAGTCACTTTAAGATGTTTTCTTGTTTTTGTTTTATTGTTTGTTGTGGTTGCACTCGATTCAAGAGCCGAATGGCTCACAGGGCTATACCAAATATATGAACTGAAACTGACTTTAGCGAAGCTCTTCTCGATAACAAAAAAAACAACAACTTCCAGCTTTACTTTTAATTAGTGTTCGGAGACTTGTGAGCGTCGTAGTGTTCATTTAGTTTGCTGAACTTAAGATAGATGCATGCCTCATAGGCACCATGGCTGAATGACCACCAAGGCAAGTGTATGACATACACTTGCCCACAGGGATTGCCTAGGAATGAGCCTGACTGCTGATGGTCTACAGCGGTGTAGACCGCTGGACCATTCATTGGAAGGATTTGATAAACCATTTCGGGTCTTAATTGATTGATCACGCTTAAGGTGGCTTTCAGACCGCATCCATTATTTTTCGTCTCCCCCCTCCACTTTTCCGAACATAGATGGACTCTTTTTGATGTAAAGCTTTCGTGACTGCAAGGATTCATCCTCTTTGGTTCTTTCGGTAAAGTCACGTAGAATGAGAATAAAATAATAAATTGATAAAATAAAATAACACAATAAAATTCTCACGATGTTTCGGCCACAACACAAGCGGCCTTCATCAGGTGAAGGGACGAGACTGTCTGGAGGACAGCGCTGGAGCCTCCAGACATCATTCGTCTGGAAGGCGACTGAGGCGATGAGAAGGAGCGAGGCACCCCTTATGGGGCCGTCCATAAATGACGTCACGCACCTAGGGGGGGGGGGGGGGTCAGACATTTGTGACGATCTGTGACGATCTGTGACGAGGGGGGGGGGGGGGGGTTTGAGAAATGTGACGTCACATTAAAAAATGCGCAACTTTAAATAAATACAGACAACACGTTCTACTTAATTAAATAGACTTTTTAATAAATGTTTTCTCCTACAACATCAGAGTGCAGCGCCACATTAAATACGCACTACAATGACAATAGTTTAAAGCGAGTTGAAGCGTGTTTTATTTTGGGGGTTTGGGGGCAGAGCTTTGTGACGTCATATTTGAGGGGGGTCTGACTTTTTGTGACGCCGTGCGACGAAGGGGGGGGGGTCTAAAAATCCTCCAAAATCGCGTGACGTCATTTATGGACGACCCCTATGGCATGACATTTGTTGCTGTTTGATCCTGAATATAATTATTTAATGTTCAAGAATATATTAAATACTTTAACATAGTTAAACATTGATGTTAAACGGATATTTAATACAATGTTGAAAATTAAACAAACATTGGGGATGCAAATAAAAGAGCAACAAATATCATTACCATGCATCCCCTGCCGCTGTGTGGATGTGGAGCCCCCCCCCCCTCACCCCCACCCCTTTCCCCCGCACCCCCCCTCACCCCGCACCCCCCACCCCCTTCCCCCCACCCCCCACTACCCCCTCGCCTGCCCACCCCTCCCCCCGTCTCTCCACCCCTCCGCCCCGCATCTCGCCCCCCCACCCCTGACCCCCGCCCCCCATCCCACCCCTGACCCCTCCCCCCACGGCTTGGCTTGCTCGCACCGCGCATGCGCAGCCCCAGCTCGTCCCTTGCGAGCCGGAACGTCTCGAGACGCATCCCCGGGTGACGTCACCGCGTTTTCCGACCTCGTTTTCCGACGTCACCTCGTTTTCCGACGTCACCGCGTCTTTCTCCGACGTCACCGCGTCTTTCTCCGACGTCACCGCGTCTTTCTCCGACGTCACCGCGTCTTTCTCCGACGTCACCGCGTCTTTCTCCGACGTCACCGCGTCTTTCTCCGACGTCACCGCGTCTTTCTCCGACGTCACCGCGTCTTTCTCCGACGTCACCGCGTCTTTCTCCGACGTCACCGCGTCTTTCTCCGACGTCACCGCGTCTTTCTTCGACGTCACCGCGTCTTTCTCCGACGTCACCGCGTCTTTCTCCGACGTCACCGCGTCTTTCTCCGACGTCACCGCGTCTTTTTTCGTACGTCACCGCGTCTTTTTTTCGTACGTCACCGCGTCTTTTTTTCGTACGTCACGCACCCGCGCAAGCATCGCGAGTTTTGATTGGCCAGGTGAGTTCGCTGCGGACCAAAGGGAGCGCTGCTCTTGGGTGGCGCAGGAAGCGCAGGGGACGCGGTGAGGGAGGACTCCGTTGCTGCGCTCGCTGCACCGAGTGAGTGACCCGCGACCGTGAGAGCCCCCCCCACCACCACCACCACCCCATACGTGAGTGTCTCACGCTCGTGAATGTCTCACGGTCGTGAATGCCCCCCACCTCGTGAGTGTCTCACGCTCGTGAATGTCTCACGTCCGTGAATGTCTCACGCTCGTGAATGTCTCACGTCCGTGAATGCCCCCCACCCCTGAATGCCCCCCACCCCTGAATGTCTCACGCTCGTGAATGCCCCCCACCCCGTGAGTGTCTCACGCCCTGAATGCCCCCCACCTGTGAATGCCCCCCACCCCTGAATGTCTCACGCTCGTGAATGTCTCACGTCCGTGACTGTCTCACGGTCGTGAATGCCCCCCACCCCTGAATGTCTCACGTCCGTGAGTGTCTCACGCTCGTGAATGTCACACGTCCGTGAATGCCCCCCACCTGTGAATGCCCCCACCCCTGAATGTCTCACGCTCGTGAATGCCCCCACCCGTGAGTGTCTCACGCCCTGAATGCCCCCACCCGTGAGTGTCTCACGCCCTGAATGCCCCCTCGTGAGTGTCTCACGCCCTGAATGCCCTCACCCGTGAGTGTCTCACGCCCTGAATGCCCTCACCCGTGACTGTCTCACACCCTGAATGCCCCCACCCGTGACTGTCTCACGCCCTGAATGCCCTCACCCGTGAGTGTCTCACGCCCTGAATGCCCCCACCCCTGAATGTCTCACGCTCGTGAATGCCCCCACCCGTGAGTGTCTCACGCCCTGAATGCCCCCACCCGTGACTGGCTCACGCTCTGAATGCCCTCACCCGTGAGTGTCTCACGCCCTGAATGCCCTCACCCGTGAGTGTCTCACGCCCTGAATGCCCTCACCCGTGAGTGTCTCACGCCCTGAATGCCCCCACCCCGTGACTGGCTCACGCCCCGAATGCCCCCACCCGTGAGTGTCTCACGCCCTGAATGCCCCCACCCGTGAGTGTCTCACACCCTGAATGCCCCCACCCGTGAGTGTCTCACGCCCAGAATGCCCCCACCCGTGAGTGTCTCACGCCCAGAATGCCCCCACCCGTGAGTGTCTCACGCCCAGAATGCCCCCACCCGTGAGTGTCTCACGCCCTGAATGCCCCCACCCGTGATTGTCTCACGCCCTGAATGCCCTCACCCGTGACTGTCTCACGCCCTGAATGCCCTCACCCGTGAGTGTCTCACGCCCTGAATGCCCCCACCCGTGAGTGTCTCACGCCCAGAATGCCCCCACCCGTGAGTGTCTCACGCCCAGAATGCCCCCACCCGTGAGTGTCTCACGCCCTGAATGTCCTCACCCGTGACTGTCTCACGCCCTGAATGCCCCCCGTCCCGTGAGTCTCTCCCACCCGTCTCTCCCAACCGCGTGGACCCCACTCGTCATCTCGCCCGTGACAGTCTTCCCACCCATCCCGTGATGAGTGTTGGGGTTAGAGGCGGTCGAAGCTTCTCTGTCCTTGGTGCCCGTAGCCTCGCTCCCACCCACCCTCCCCCGACTGTCGTGTGGGTGAACGTGGTTGTGCGGGTACACCGTCTCGCACTCCCACACGCAAAAAAATATATTACACAGTACAGGTACTGTACATACACAGGCACCCTGGTGCTGGTCTCTCTCACATGCATTCTCACGTCTTGGGCACTGGCTGTACCCCAACGCTTAACAACAACCATATTCAAAGATCCGCTCTAGCCTTTAACAGACTGTCGAGGCGTGTGCTGTTAGCGATTATCTATTAGGGTTTTGCCTAAACGGTGCTGATGTTCACGCACCTCACCAGGTACTACTAAGGCTGAGTCAACCTGGGCGTGGGCCAGGACCCATTCAGACAATTCGTTGCCGATGTTGGCTTGATGCGGAAATCCGAGTTGGGTTGCCGGGTTTTCAGAGCGCAACGTGCTCACCAGAACAATACCGCGCCCCCCATACTCTTATATCCTACACACTACACATATCCCACACAACACTGCACGTATATCCTACACAACACTGCTTACACTTTCTGAACCGCAGGAACCATTTTACAAATTTGATGATCAGTGCTGTACACTACTACATGTGACCTCACAAAGTGCATCGTGCACTACGTACGCACAATGTATAAATATGCACGTGAATTACGATATGCAGCAATGTTAAATAGGTGCGCGCACGAAGAAATATAACACGTGTTTGAAAATAAATACAGGAAATCCTCGCCGAACGTGGGGAGGGGGGGGTGGCTACGTTCCTCAAAAATGCCGTGTTGTGCAACACTGTCCGAGTAATAATAACAGACATGGGTTTTAAATCATTATCACAGCCTCATTTGTTTACGTCTAGATGCTTTTCCCCCTTACTTGATTTGACATAACAAATCAAAGATACGGAATACTGCACGTGTGAATTGAATGAAATATTAAGCCTCAGAATTAAATAAGTGAAATATTTGTTTTCGATGAATGATGATGGTTAAGATGTTGGGGGTGGGGGGTGGTGTTATTTTATTTTAGATTCATTTACACCTTAGTGCCTTCCAATGGATGCAGCACTCGCCTCTTTGCTAGCCGAGCTAACAACTGCACTTTTACGCAATAGTAGTAATCACTTTTCTCCGCTTATTCTCACTGCAATCACCACCAGCACTTCACTTACGCTTAGGGTCGATGATTAAATAGTGAGTCATTACACTACAGTACAAGCGGGACCGTACAGCATAATCCAATACAAATGGACCATGCAGCGTAAACAATACAAAGCGGATCGTGCACTACATTTTGACACGGGAGATGAGAATATTAGCAGCACAAAACTGCGTATCGCCGAAACATCCCCCACTGTGTTTTTGACAACAGGCCTCATTAAGTAAAGCGTGTATACATGAAACACGCATTTGATAAAACCGCGTTTGGCGAGGTTTACCCATACACCAGATGGCAAGCCCTTCTTTTGGATGGGGTGAATATTCGACCATCAACCTCACTCCCTCTCCCCTCTTGGCCCTTCGCAGTTGGCCCACCCTTCCACTCTCAATTCCACCTTTTCAGCGATCTTCCACTGTTGCTCACGTCACTCACCGGACACCCACCTGACATCACCCAACATTCACACTCAAAGACGGGTATCACTCACCTTGGCACCAATACAAAGTCACAAGACACTCACCTGCCCCTCACCACCATATGACACTATCCCACAGTTATTTATTAACACTCAATTATGGCACAGACTCACCACTCGGCCAACATTAATAACCGCTTACCACTCACCGGGCGCTTAACTGACACTTGTTACACACACACACAGCAAACAGACGAGACAAGCAACACTCGTACAAACTCACCAGACATGCACAGCTTACTGTACAATGAAGTACAGGTTGCACTGTGGTGCTGTAGATGCACGTGTGCGTACTGCAAAATAGAGCACGGAGGGCATCAACCATTGCGATAAATAGTTTGTCATGGATTTTTGACCAAGGTCACAGGTCATATGTGCTCCGAATTCACTCGCATAGGTTCCTTCGATTTTTACATTTCGGAAGAGTCATCATTGTACGCTTTATAATTTGAAATACAGTACTCGAGTGTATGCTGCGAAAACAGACTGACGGATGAATGAACGAATTAAGCTGCATATATTTTCAGATACAGTGAGGGAAAAAAGTATTTGATTCCCTGCTGATTTTGTACGTTTGCCCACTGACAAAGAAATGATCAGTCTATAATTTTAATTGCAATCATTGAAGACTTGGTCCAACAGGGACTGAATCCTGATGTACCAACTTTGGTGAGGCACTGCCTTACTAACACTGGAATGGTACATTCTACACACAATTTGAAGGTACCCCTATAGGTTCTCCCTTATTACCAGCGGTAGCGAATGTCTTCATGGAGAAATTTGAAACAGATGCCATCCTGACATCCACCCTACGTCCTTCCTTGTGGAAGAAATACGTAGATGACACGTTCGTCATCTGGCCACATGGCCTGCCAGCACTGAACCAATTGTTCAACCACATCAATTCCATACACCCATCCATCAAATTCACCATGGAAGTGGAAAACGATGGCAAGCTACCCTTCCTGGATGTTTTGATCGAGAAGAGACCTGATGGCTCGTTGGGACATTCTGTCTACAATACAGCCACCCACAAGGATTCCTATCTAAAGCCTGATTCCCACCACCATCCAGCCCAGAAGAATTCCCTCATCAAAACACGACACCATAGGGGCCCGTTGTATCTCCGACCAGCACCACTTAGCCAGTGAGCTTGAGCACGTACACCAAGCTCTCAAGATGAATGGATATTCAGGCCACACAATCCGCAAACCTGTATCCCCAACCATCCGGAGGCAACCATCTGAAGACCTAATCAAAACCATCACCTTGCCATACATAGTAGGTGTTCCCAAAAATATTTCCAAAATCTTGAACAAACACAAGATCCTGGTTCAACTCAACACAGTACACAAAATCCGTGATTTTATCCCATCTGTGAAGGATGTGATTCCTGACATGCAATACCCTGGTGTCTGCAAACTAAGTTGTGTCTGCGGCAGCAGTTACATCGGGGAAACGAAACGACATGTCTCGGACCGTGTTCGCGAACACAAAGCAGATTTGAAACACGGGAGAACCAACAACCTCTGCCGTGGCTGATCACTGTTTTAACGCGGTTGGCTCACACGATGTTGTTTTTACCGAGACCAAGGTACTCTGCAAACCTTCGGGCTACCATCGAAGATTTGTCCATGAAGCCATCCAGATATATAAACACAGACACAATTTCAACCGAGCCTGATGATGGACGCTTGTGTTGCGTCTGAAACGCCGTGACCTATTATTTTTTCCTACCTCCGTGACTTCACCGAAAGACCCAAAGAGTAAGCCCGAGGTGCTAAAATTCAAAGCGCTCGGGAACAAACGGCTTTGTTAAAGGTGTAATGGGAGTGAATAACGTCACAAATATGGCCATTAAGTAATTAAAAAAATGTGAAAACTGTTAAAAGAAGCATGGAGAGATGCATGCATAGAGTTACGTTGGGGGAAATTAAAAAGAAACAT